TCACTCGATTCTGTGGTACTGGGTCATGACTTGACATATGAGGAGGAGCCTATAGCTATATTGGATAGGCAAATCCGAAAGCTTAGGACCAAGAAGCTTGTTTCAGTGAAGGTGCAATGGAAGCACCGTTCAGTACGAGAAGCAACTTGGGAGACAGACTCCAACATGCGTGGCATATATCCTCATATTTTTGAAGAATCATGTACATTATTTTACATTATGTTCGAGGACGAACATGATTTTTAGTGGTGAATAATGTAATGACCCGGAATCTCATTTTTGGAAAGTTTGAATATTTGCTTAACTTGAGTTAATTAATGTATAAATAATTGTAGATAATTGATTATATTAATAAATAATAAGCTAAAGTGAGAAAAAAATTAAGACCTTTTACCCTTTAGACTATTTAATAAAAAAAAGTGGGTAAAGTTTCACCACTTTTAGTACATAAATAATTCAGAAAAAGAAAAAAGGAAAAGAAAAAAAAATGGGCGAAGGGTTTCTCTGCACTTGCGGCTTACGGACTGCTTAAGGTAAGTTTCTTTTCCTTTAGTTTCTTTATTTCTGCACATAGATGTGTGTATATAGCAATATTAAATAGTTAATTATATATATATATATGTGTGTGTGTGTGTGTGTGTGTGTATAATAATAAATGAAGATTGCATGTGAATAAAAAAAATTGAATAGAAAATCACGTAAAGAGTTAAAAACCATTTGAATCATTAGTGGATCAATGATTGGTTCATAATGAGCCAATCATTATTGGGTAAATTATTGGTTCATAATGAGTCAATCATTAGTGGGTTAAAAGGGAAAAAAACATAATGCAGAATACATTAATGGCATCATTAGGCGTAAATTTCAGAATATAAGTTATTATATTATGGTTCAAGTTTTGATATATTGGTATGCAATCTAAATATTAGATGAATAAAAATTTTTGACTACCATTTAAATTATGACGTTGGAAAAATTTGGGATGCAATCCTAAACTTGAAATTGAAAACTATGATAGTGGAAATTTTAATTGACATCAAGAATTACAAACTTGATTATAAATTAGGGGTGTATTTTTAGGTCAAGGTTAAACACATAAAAGTGTGAGTGTTGTTAGTTTTGAAACCTTATTATGAATATATACTTGAATAGATTCCATTGGTTCAGAAGCTCAACGGAAAGGGAAGGCTCAAGTCCAAGAGTAATTATTCGATATGCTAAGTCAAGTGGATTTCTAAACTCTTGTTAAGCGTACGAGCCAATCATTGGTACTCACCCCTTGCTTCTACAAATTATAGTAGGTGACGAGCCTGGATTTTTGTGATACCTTCCATTCTCTTTGTTTTCGAGAGATCTTGTGGAGGATTGTGAGGTAGTTGCTTGTCATCTAAGCGACCTTTCCTACTCCAGTTTATTACATTGTTTTTACTTGAAAGACAACATCATTTTAGCCTTCTATTTTGTTTCAATTCTAATATTTACATTAGAGGCTTGTGCACGTGAAACCCTGATTTTGGGGATTGAGTTAGTATGACTTGATTTCATAATAGAAATTGTTGTTGGATTGTCATTTACTTCCGCACTTTATTAGATATTGGGTTTTAGGCTGACTTGTCTTGGTAGAATAAGACGAGTTGTCATCACACCCATTTTTTGATCGTGACAATTCACCAGCTAAACCACATTATAAATTTTAATATATTTGAGAAACTTAATAACTTTTTAAGTCTAATTATTTTAGTTTTGACTTAATTCAAACATTATATCACCGACTAAACCACATTATATATTTTAACTTATTTGAAGAACTTAACAACTTTTTAAGTATAATTAGTTAGTTATAAAATAATTACAACGCTATAGTCACTAAATCACATTATATTTTTTATTATATTTAAAGAACTTAACAACTTTTTAAATCTAATTAGTTTACTTTTAACTTAATTCCAAGACTATATTCACCAACTAAACCACATTATATATTTCAACTCACCAACTAATCCATATTATATCTTTTAATATATTTGAAGAACTTAATAACTTTTTAAGTATAATTAGTTTCGTCTTAACTTGATTCCAACAATATATTCACCAACTAAACCACAATATATATTTTTACTTATTTGAAAACTTAGCAACGTTTTAAGTCTAATTAGTTTAATTTTAACTTAATTTTAACACTATATTCACCAACTTAACCATATTATATATTTTAACTTATTTGAAGAACTTAACAACTTTTGAAGTCTAACTAATTTAACTTTTACTTAATTCCAACACTATATTCATCAATTAAACCACATTATATATTTTAATATAATTGAAGAACTTAATAGTTTTTTAAGTATAATTAGTTTACTTTTAACTTAATTCCAACACTGTATTCACCAACAATACCACGTTATATATTTTTACTTATTTTAACAATTTGATAATATTTATAATCTAACTAGTTTAGCTTTCTTACTTAATTTCAACACTATATTCACCAATAAAACCACATTATATATTTTAACTTATTTGAAAAACACAATAACTTTTTAAGTGTAATTAGTTTAGTTTTAACTTAATTCAATTATATTCACCAACTAAACCACATTATATATTTTAACTTATTTGAAGAATTTAATAACTTTTTAAGTCTAATTAGTTTAGTTTTAACTTAATTTCTACACTATATTAACAGACTAAACCACATTATATATTTTAACTTATTTGAAGAACTTTGCAACTTTTTAAGTCTTACAAATTTTGTTTTTACTTAATTCCAATACTATGTTCACCAGCTAAACCACATTATAAATTTTTATATATTTGAGGAACTAACAAACTTTTTAAGTCTAATTAGTTTAGTTTTGACTTAATTCCAACACTATATATAACCAGCCAAACCACGTTATATATTTTAACTTATTTGAAGAACTTAACAACTTTTTATATCTAATTAGTTAGTTATAAATTAATTCAAACACTATAGTCACTAAACCACATTATATATTTAATATATTTGAAGAAATTAACAACTTTTTAACTCTAATTAGTTTAGTCTTAGGTTAACTAAATCACATTATATATTTTAACTTATTTGAAGAACTTAACAATTTTTTAAGTCTAACTAATTTAACTTTTACTTAATTCCAACACTATACTCACCAACTAAACCAAATTATATATTTTATTATATTTGAAAAGCTTCACAACTTCTTAAGTCTAATAGTTTAGTTTTAACTTAATTCTAGCACTATATTCACCAACTAATTAACATTATATATTTTAACTTATTTGAAAAATTGAATAACTTATTAAGTCTGATTAGTTTAGTTTTTACTTAATTCCAACATTATATTCACCAACTAAACCCCGTTATATATTTTAACTTATTCGAAGAACTTAACAATTTTTTTAGTCTAATTAATTTAGTTTAAACATAATTCAACACTATAATCACCAACTTAACCAGATGTAACAACCCTCTCAGTCGTTTTAGGAATTCTAACCATTATTTGTTATACTAACTTTTTTAGTAGATTTTATAAATAATTTATATAACTTATAAGAATGAGTGATATGATTTTCAGATTTAATAAAGTATTATTTTGTTGCTAATAATGATAGAAAAAGAGAAAAAAAAGTAGAAAATAAATAAAATAAAATAAATAAAAAGAAAGGGGCAGAATGCCCTAAGTGGTTGAAAGTCTGAGACGGCATAAGAGAGGTTGAAAAAAAAAGAACGACCTGACCAAAAAAAAATACGTAGAGAAGAGAAGAAAAGAAAAAGAAAGGTAAAAAAGGAAAAGAAACAGAAAAATCGATATTTTCATCTCAAGGCGTCAAGGAAATTATTCTCATCCTTTCTATTAAATTTTTATGTAACTAAGAGGATTTTTTGGTTAAAACGTGTATAATTTATATAAATATGTGAACTTGTGATTATGCATAGAGGTCATTGTATACTAAATTTTATTATAATTATTATTATTATTATTATTATATTTGGTTAAAATTTAATCTTTTTATATACCTATAAACTTGAACTTGAAAATTAAGGCCAATTATTGGGAATTAATAATATATTAACAATGTATTAATCATTGGCTATGAATTATGGGAATTGGGTTGCTGTTTCTTGGCCCAGGTTACAGGTGGTGTAACTTTGACTTAAATTTTGGAATTTACGTTGTAGTTATTACTTTATAATTTAAGTTTTAAAATATAGATATAGGCAACCAAATATTAATTATATTGTATTACATAAATATTAATATATTTATAAAATTGGAGAAGTTGAAACTTAAATTTAAGCTTGAAATTTGAAAATATGAGAATTGACATATTAGTTGGGATCAAGACTTAAGAACTTGATTATACAATTGAGTGAGTTTTTGGGTGTAGACTAAATCTATAGTAATATGAATTTTGTTAGATTCGAAACTTTATATTGATTATACAACGAAAAAAGAAGGATCAACTTCTTGAGCCATTGTTCAACTATTTGAGACAAGTGGATTTCTAAGCTCTTATTAAGTGTGTAGAATGCGTGTATTTTCTTGTGCTATATGTTTGGGAGTAATGAGACTTGGTGATGGGTTGAATTGTCTACATTGATTAATTCTAATGATGAAAACAAAGGATAATTAAAGGTAATGTATGTCACGATCCAAATCGAGCCGCGACTGGCACCCACACTTACCCTCCTATGTGAGCGAACCAATCAATACAAAACCCAACATTTCGAATATAATAACACAATATAATGCGGAATAATTAAACTCATTAATGAAAATCAATTAAATAACTTCTAAAAACTCAACAACTATTATTATCCCCAAAATCTGGAAGTCGTCATCACAAGAACATCTATCCTCAAATTACTAATCTAAGAGTATCTAAGAAGCTAAAATACATAAAAAGCTAGTCCATGCCGGAACTTCAAGGCATCGAGACATGAAGAAGAAGATCCAGTCCAAGCAAGAAGCGTTAGCTCACCCTGAAATCCGGTGTAATGAAGACTGGGTAGAGTTGCGGTTGAAGTTGAAGACGACGGCACGTTTGCTGCACTCCACAAATAACAAGGAAAGAAACATACAAGTAGGGGTCAGTACAAAACACGGGTACTGAGTAGATATCATCGGCCAACTCAAAATAGAAAACAATATATATCAGATCATATCATAAATCAACTACAACACTCAATCTGTAGCAACAACATGTACAAGAATCTTTGATAAATAACGTCAAGTACACTCATGAGGACTCAAGCCTCCATATCATACTCATTTGGGAAATAGGTTCTTTTCATTCGAATTTATTAACATAATTCAAAAATTCATTATCTTTTTTCCTCTTGTGTCGGCACGTGACACTCCGCTCCCCTACTACTATGTGTCGGAACGTGACACTCCGATCTCCTAATTCTATGTGTGGGTTCGTGACACCCGATCCCCTAATTCTATGTGTCGGTTCGTGACACTCGATCCCCTAATTCTACGTGTCGGTTCGTGACACCCGATCCAACTAATCTCATTCTATTAGTTCATCAAGCCTTCTTTTATACCAAGGCATCATCAATCTCATTACTTTAGTTCATCAAGCCTTCTTTTATACCAAGGCATCATCAATCTCATTACTTTAGTTCATCAAGCCTTCTTTTATACCAAGGCATCATCATTAACTAGAGGTTTTCAAGATTGGAGTTTTCAAGATTTGGGATTCAATAGCTTCATCTTGCTTATTTCATCACACAATTATATAATCATATTCATGCAAGCATACATTTAAACATATAGAAGACTTTACATTACAACACAACACAATCATTCGCCATTAAGAGTTAACTACGAATAGTATAAAAACCATAACCTACCTCCAACGAAGATTAGTGATCAAGCAAGCAAGTTCCCAAAGCTTTGTTTTTCTTCTCGTTTCTCCTCTTTCTCGTTCGATCCCCTCTCTCGTTGTTCTTTCTATTTTTTTCTTATTCAAACCCTCTTTCTTTTACCCTAATTATCATATAATTAAGTATGAAAGATGATGAATTTAACCCATTAATTAATTCAAGGTTATCTCTTTAAGCCTCAAGTAGTTAAATTATTAACATTAACCCACTAAATTTATAATTATAGCAAGAATAGTCCAAAACGCCCCCTTAAAACATTTAAAGAAATCCGACTCAGCCTGGGATTACGCAGTCCTTGACGGACCGTCGTGCCAGCGACGGTCCGTCCTGCTGGGTCATCGCAGAGTTCATAGAGTAAATTTCTGGGGAAGATGTGTGACGGTCCGTCATGCCCACGACGGTCCGTCCTGACATTCCGTTACGAAGTTCAGAGAGTCGATTTCAGTACCCAAATTTTAGAATTCTATGTGTTTTGGAACGAGACCCCCTCGACGGCCCGTCGTGCCCATGACGGTCCGTCGTGGGATCAGTCGTCTCAGCCAGTTTTTTCAGATTTAAAATCTGCTGCTCAAAACGACTAAACAGGTCGTTACAAAATAATTGCTGATGTGTTATATGTTGATAATGGAGTATGGTTTAAAAGACTTGTCGAATCCTATTTGATGTTATTGTGAATTGTGCACTGTTAAGAAAATGGTCATATCTCTTTATTTGTGTTAACATGTCATTTGCATTATTTTAACACATGGTTGTGACAAGTATTATGTGCACTGAGAAAGAATGAGAACTTAAAGAAGATGTACCGTTTCGAGGAATGTATCATGCGTTGCGATGAATATTGTATTTTGAGGACCGTATCGCGTGCCGCAATGAATACTTCATTTTGAGGGTCGTGTCATGCGCCACAACAAATGCACGGATAGTAGTATCCCCCATGGGTCCTGAACTCAGAGACAGCGAGTGCGTATTACTAGGTAAGACGTGCATCATAATACTTAACATTGCATTTCATTGCTTTGCAAATACTGATCATTAGTAAACATGATGTTGTGTTTTAATGATCTTGTGTCACGACTCAAAACCAGTCGTGAGTGGCACTCACACTTAACCTCCTAAGTCGGCGAACAAATGAATCCAAACCTCAACATATTCCAATAAAAATTATAACACAACGCCAAAACATAATAATGTATCATTTCCAAAACTTGAAAGTCATCACATCAAAGACATCTAATCTCCAAATACTAAATATAAGAATATTGAAAATACTGAAATAAATAAATTAGATAATCCATGTCCGAAATTTAAGGACATCATGACATAAACGAGAAAATCCATTACGAGCTAGAAATAGTAGCTCACCCTGAATTATGATGTGCTGGAGACTGGCTAGAGCCGAGGGTGAATCAAAGTCAATGTTACACTTACTGCACGCCACAAAAGAACAACAAAGAAAATAGCAGTTGGAGTCAGAACAAAGAAGACCTACTTAGTAGGTATCATCAGCCAACAAAAAATAGAAACCAATATATATATATTAAATAATAATATAAAATCAACTACAATACTTGGCAGGTGGCAAGATACAAATAACACGAACCAGTGATGATAACACCATAGTAGGTACACAATCAATCACAATATCAAGCACACCTATGAGGACTCATACCTCCACACCATTTTCATTTGGAAAATGGGTCTTCGAGATTAAGTGTATTAAGTTAATTCAAGATTTATTTCCTTAAGGACTGGAAATAAGCAGGTGTAAACGCGAAAACTAGCAAAGCAAACCTCGAAAGACCACGAGTAAGAAGACAACGAGAAATATACCAAAAGGCACAAAGATTTAACGTGATTCGGACTATCGACCTACGTCCACAAAGGAGATGAACAATCCACCATAAATATGAGAGTACAAAATACATAGAGCAACAACCTCAACCAATTCACTCGGAATACATGGGAGGTTCACACAAGTGATAACATATCAAGGTTGTGACCCAAAAATTCTCCTTCTAACAAAAACTCTCAAAGCCCTTAAGAATACATTGTGAACGTTGATTAAGTTAGAAAGAACATTCCTCTATTTATAGTCCTAAACCTTTTTCTACCAGAAAAAGGATTTGTCGATCCAAAACATTTTCATAAAAGGAAAACCTATTTATGGCAAGAAATCGGAGCAAATAAAACCCAACAAACCTCTCCCTTGACCTGAATTTCTGACAAAATAAATTTGTCCACTTTCTTTACTTAATCTTCAACAACTTGAATCTCCTCTCCATAATCTCCTTTGCAAAATTTGTGTCTTAACACAGAGAACCTCTCTGAAACAATTTTTTCAACAAAATCTTCATTACTGTCAAAAAAGGTTGCGGATAGAACTACACCCGCCAAGCTGAACACCTCTTTCTAACCTGGTTCAATCATCGATTATCGAACCACTGAACCTGACTCCATCATTGAATCTGTCTCTGATACCACTTTTTAGGACCGGAAATAAGCAGGTGTAAACGCGGAAGCTAGCAAAGCAAATCTTGAAAGGCCACGAGTAAGAAGCCAACGAGAAATATACCAAACGACACAAAGATTTAACGTGGTTCGGTCTATTGACCTACATCCACAAAGGAGATGAGCAATCCAGTATAAATATGAGAGTACAAAATACAAAGAGAAAAAACCTCAACAAATTCAATTCGGAATACATGGGAGGTTCACACAAGTGATAACATATCAAGGTTGTGACCCACAAATTATCGTTCTACCCAAAACTCTAAAAGCCCTTAAGATGACATTGTGAATGCAGATTAAGTTAGAAAGAACATTCCTCTATTTATAGAATCCTAAACCTTTTCCTACCAGAAAAAGGATTTGTCAATCCAAAACCTTTTCCTTAAACGAAAACCTATTTATGGTAAGAAATCGGGGCAAATAAAACCCAACAAACCTCCCCCTTGACCTGAATTTCTGACAAAATAAATTTGTCCACCTTCTTAACTTAATCTTCAACAACTTGCTTCTCCTTTTCATAATCTCCTTTGCAAAATTTGTGTCTTAACACAGAGAACCTCTCTGAAATAATTTCTTCAACAAAATCTTCATTACTGTCAAAAAAGATTGCGGCTAGAACTACACCCGCCAAGATGAACACCTCTTTTTAACCTGGTTCAATCATCGATTATCGAACCACTGAACCTGACTCTATTATTGAATCTGTCTCTGATACCACTTGTTAGGATCGGAAATAATCAGGTGTAAACGCGGAAGCTAGCAAAGCAAATCTTGAAAGACCACGAGTAAGAAGAAAACGAGAAATATACCAAACGACACAAAGATTTGATGTGGTTCGGTCTATTGACCTACGTCCACAAAGGAGATGAGAAATCCACCATAAATATGAGAGTGCAAAATACAGAGAGAAACAACCTCAACAAATTCACTCGGAATACATGGGAGGTTCACACAAGTGATAACATATCAAGGTTGTGACACACAAATTCTCCTTCTAACCAAAACTCTCAAAGCCCTTAAGACTACATTGTGAATTTTGATTAAGTTAGAAAGAACATTCCTCTATTTATAGAGTCCTAAGCCTTTTCCTACCAGAAAAAGGATTTGTCAATCCAAAACCTTTTCCTAAAAGGAAAACTTATTTATGGTAAGAAATCAGGGCAAATAAAACCCAACAAACCTCCCCCTTGACCTGAATTTCTGACAAAATAAATTTGTCCACCTTCTTAACTTAATCTTCAAATACTTGTTTGTCCACTCCATAATCTTTTTTGCAAAATTTGTGTCTCAACACAGAGAACCTCTCGGAAACAATTTCTTCAACAAAATCTTCATTAATGTCAAAAAAGTTGCGGCTAGAACTACACCTGCCAAGATGAACACCTCTTTCTAACCTGGTTCAATCATCGATTATCGAACCACTGAACTGGACTCTATCATTGAATTTGTCTTTCATACCACTTGTTAGGACCGAAAATTAAGCAGGTGTAACCGCGGAAGCTAGCAAAGCAAACCTTGAAAGACCACGGGTAAGAAGACAACGAGAAATATACCAAAAGACACAAAGATTTAACGTGGGTCGATCTATTGACCTATGTCCACAAAGGAGATAAGCAATCCACTATAAATATGAGAGTACAAAATACAGAGAGAAACAACCTCAACCAATTCCCTCGGAATACATGGGAGGTTCACACAAGTGATAACATATCAAGGTTGTGACCCAAAAATTCTTCTTCTAATCAAAACTCTCAAAGCCCTTAAGACTACATTGTGAATGCTGATTAAGTTAGAAAGAAGATTGCTCTATTTATAGATTCCTAAACCTTTTCCTACCTGAAAAAGGATTTGTCAATCCAAAACCTTTTCCTAAAAGGAAAACCTATTTATGGTAAGAAATCAGGGCAAATAAAAACCAACACCAGTTTCATATACAAAAATTTTCATATCCTCCTTCTAATTCCAAATACACACACACATCACATTTCGTATTTATAACAGCAACTGGCAACCTAGCCTTCATAATATAATTTGTTTTATCTTACCACCAATTTTAATATGTAAATATGTGTGCTACCTATCATTTGTTCTGTTTCTCCTAATTTCTTCCTCCACCTGCACATGACCACTAATACTACACATATGCCTATTTAATGCACCACTTTAGAATATAATAATAAACAATTCAAGTCAATTCTACCTAAAACTTGATCAATCATTATGCTTTCACATAGGAATTTCCCAATTACCTTTTGTATATATATAATTCTATCTAGAGGGCGTGGCCCGTGCTCAATATTTTTTATATTTTTTAAATGCTTGAAGATACACAACTGTAAACATAGGTAATAGATATTTTTACATTAGCTAAAATAAAATACCATCATCAATGTCAAAAAAATGGTTAATCCAACACAAACTCATGCATCTGAAATAACTCATTTGCTCCAATTGCATCCTAGTAAGGAACATCATCTTTTGTGCAAAGAATGTTCATAAGATCATGCATCAAACTTGAGTTCAACCTAAATTTGATGACATTTTATATAAATCTACTCCATGATTTGAATTCACAATACAACATTACAATGTTAATTACAGTCATTAGGTAAGATTAGATGATCATTAAGCTGGCCATAATTGCCACATTAAAATCGATATATATATAGGAAATATACTATGAAGTTTATCTACTGGTCATTAAGCTTGGTGCACTACTATGAAGCTGTTTCTCTCTTTCCATAGAGATACCATGTATAAGCCTAAACTTAGATGCTTAAAGATTTATTTATTTATTCAAGTGAAATTGTGTTTTCTCCCATAAGTAGTGGAACCTCACCACATAGCGCATGAAAACATGTGTGAATGAATAAGGATTAAAATAGTGAAAACTTAAATCCTTCACTATCGATAATTTTTTACTCAGAAGCATTATGATAGTAGCAAAATTGTTTTTATTGAAGTCTCAATTATGCCATCAATGCCATGCACAAATCCTTTCTATAGTCAGTTTTGCATATCATAATGTTCTGGCACAATATCATACCATTACATAGTACCATACCTATAATTTAAATTGTATAAGAAAATAAAGAAGATTAAAAGTGAAGCAATAAAAATCACAACTGAAATTCTAGATTAAAAAAGTTAGAATACATTTATCATTTTTATATATAACAAGTGAAATTACTTTTATAAGCAAGTAATAATGTTGGGTTAGCTTTCGATTATGATAGCTTAGCAGCTAACTTTTGCTACATGACTACTAGCAAATCTAACAATCAAAAACTAATTAGTGAACACTGTTCTTGACACAAAAGAGTGATCTAATAGAGGAACAAAAATGAGGACATGACGTTATGCAGTATAAACTCGATATTTTGATAAATTTTCGTTGAAGTAGTAGTTTCAATAATACATTTGGTCATCTCTAAAGAGCACCTATTGTTGTATATTACTTAAATTTCCTTAGGTCCTTCAGGATTTCTAAAATAAATTGTCAGGCACAGTTTTTTGATAGGTTTCATGTATGATATTTTGTATAGTATTTGTGGAATACTAAATAAAATGACCAAATTAGTTGATTGGTTAGATTTATGGGGAAGAAGCATGATATTTCAAGTTTCATTTTAAGATTTCTTGACAAAGTTGATATAGAAGTATAGAACCATGAGAACTTGCAAGAAATGACATCAAAGCATTCTGAGACCTCCCCTCTGCTCCAAAATGGACAAAAGCCTTACTATTTGATCTAGATTATAATTTTTGTTAATATAGCTAATTAAGACTTATCATGGATGGGGTTAATGCAATACAACGGTATTTTTAAGACAGATTATTTTTGTCTTTTTAAGCCTATGTCTGTTCATGGCTAACATATTTTTCAGTGATGCGTGATTCGTCAAACAGGTCGAGAAGAGAAGTGAAGCATAAAAAAAATCCAAGAACAAAACAATGCCGATTCACATAGTTTCTAATCTACATATCTCAGTAATTTCAAAATCCGATCAAATCACTAGTAACAACAGAACATTCAATTTCCCTAATTGGGTAACCAAATGAGGAAAATATAAATCTTACAGAAGAAGAGACAGACGAAACAGGAGGAAACATTAACAACATTAATTCAGATTTCATGTAAAAGAAATAACATACATACTACAATGAATCATGGAAAACCACAACTATAGATTCATCACTCGGTGAAAACTTCACATACAGGCACATCGAAGGAGGAATAACAACATATGTGTTAAAATAATAAACAAGAAAAAAAAAGGAAGAGTTCGAACTCAATATGGAATATGTATAATATGAGAAAACTATAGTTTCAAAATTTTTTTGGATAACCAGGCTAGGAGTTAAGAGCATAGATGTAGAATTTTGAAGCAAAATTAGGAGATTTTTTATTTGAAACTTTATTTTCGGTGAAACTTGTAGTTTCTCTTCCAAGATAATAGAGAGAGACAAAGCAAGATGAAAAGAAAGGTCTAGAAAGAGGCGACACTTATAAAATATACGCATGAGTTGTTTTTGTTCCAATAGAAGTATACTTCAAATAGTTTTGTATAATCAATAGCGCACATTTATCACATAAATAAAACACATACTAGGAGGACAACTTCTTTCAATAAAACCCCTTTCATGTTCTTTCTCCGAAGTGAAAAGCTTACAGAATTTTGAAGATGACATCTAATGAACCTCTTTACATCTCTCTCATCATGATATTCGTAAATCTCGTTGCTTCTAACACAAATCCATTTATTTTTTTTCCAGTTAAATCGTCAAAATTAGAATAAATGGTATGTTGCTTGTAGTATTAGATTAAAAAGTTTACGGTTACTACTCTTTGCCAGCTCCAATGTAGAACACAGGTAAGTTGGGTAACCGAAATATTTGTCAGAATATAAGCTTTACTGACCTTTGAGAATTTTGTTGACACTTTATAAAAAAAATTTTGAATATCACTAGTTGCTATAAAATTGACCAAAAAAACATGAGGCAATAAAAATATGAATGTGAAAAATCAGTTAACAAAAGAGTCAAAGGCTCATGAAATTGCACGATAATCTTCAATAAATGAAATTCAAATTCAAGGAAGCTGCTTCCGTTCCTATACAAAAAGTAGTTTAATTAGCTTTCCTATATACATTAATAAGAAATGGGTACAAAAACAATTGAAGAAAGAAAAAACTCACATGAAGTCTGAAATATAATAAAGATATGACAGACAACCCGCACCAAAGAGTAGAATTACAAAACTACACCGAAAAGTGAAATGCTAGAAACTTGAGATTGGTAACAATATGTAGAGCATGAGAGAGATAGAAAGTAGCAGTTCAAATAAACAATATCGAAATTTTTATGTTACCATATTCGCCTCATTCTCCCAATCAAATATCAAAATAAGTGAACTAACAAATATGAAAAGAAAGCGGTTGGACATTAGACATAGTCAGGTGATTTACTGAATCAAATAGAGAAATAAAGAGAGAGATAAAAGAGGATGCCAATATATATGAAAAAAAGAACTAAAAATTGTGAAGATAATATGTTAGAGACTCCGTCAGAATTTCATACCTGAAAGTAGATCTTCCTAACTCAATTGCCACTATTAAATTGTGAATTTCAAACCTCTCACTATCTTCTCTAAAATGAGAATTCTTTAAACATCATTTTTGCATCCTTGCATAAATACCCTATCAAAAATTAGGTTAAAAATGTCAACTTTTCAATGAAAAAATAAAGTGAAAGAAGCTACCAAAGTGAAACATTTCATGTACAAACGAACCAAGAACAGAAAGAATGAAAGGAGAATAAGAAATATCAATTGAAAGAAAAAACAAAGAGAAGAGGAAGAGAAGGGGAAGAAGAAGGAAGCAAAAATAAAGTGAAAAATCTAATATATTGAGCATATTTTTATGCAATAAAAATGTGTATGTATCAGTATACTATTAAAAAGAAACATCATTTTTGCACTTCTTATGCTGTTGGTACAATTTTAATGTGTTGTGTTTGTCCCACTATTTGATCCTGTGGATAGCTTGTACAAGCGGTGTATGACCAATATGAGATGCGGTCTGTAGACCTCTTCTATTTTCCCTTATAGCGAATGATCCTTTTCACCTCAAAAAAAATTTAGTTATTGTAAATCTTTGTAGTTAGTTTAGCTCTTTATAATGAGCCTCTTTTCAGATAAAATACTTTGTAACATGACTCGCTAATAACAAAGAACAATTTCTCGTGTCCAAGAAACACAATCATAACATCCTACAAGCAGTTCTCTTGAAAATCCACTTGTTTTGATGAGAAACATTTGGCTTCAACTCAACAAATAGGTGTGCTTGTATGTATATATATATATATATATATATATATATATATATATATAAAGTAATCTTAGCTAAAGGGGATATATTTCACGTGTAGGCAACCCATTCATCAAAATAATTTATTGTAGTCGTTAAAGTGAGAACGCCAGAACGTCTATACTTATGCACTATATCGAATATATCGCCTCGTCTATCACATTAATTTCATAATTGTGGACTTAAAAATTCCTAAAAGTCAATGCAGAAGAATCTCCATTCACGAAAATTGTTTATAAGGGGTGTACATCTTTTAATATTATCTGGAATCATGTGACATTAGGCATATAAGCAAAATGTCAAGAATTGGAGAGGGTGACAACTTTATAGAGAATATAAGATTACAATATTATTCACAAAAATATCAAGATAAATAACAACAAAAGAATATGAACGATGTAATAATGTCTACAACGATAACTTACTCATTTTACCTTATCTTGAGAGGTAGAAAGATTGTTTCCGATTATGTGCTAAAACCTAAAAGATATAAACACTAAATTAAGCAAGACTTGGTACATAAATACAAAAACAATAAAAACAAATTACAATATATAAGGTAGGTTTTTCCTAATTAGAAAAATTTTTAAACTTCCAAATTGAAGAAAAATATGAATATTAATAACATGCAGTATCGAGAAAATTAGGTGAATTAACCTCCAAGAGGTAAGTCAATGTTTGAAATCTCCATTAAAATCCATCGAGACCAAACTCAATTTCTCAACTTTGCCAAATTTTGTTACTATTGGGCAATGAAATTTGATTATGAAATCCATACATATCTAAATAAATCTAACAATAAACATACAAAATTCATGAATATAGAGACCTTAAATTGAAAGTTGAAGAGCTAAAGGGTGTAAAAAAACTTCAATAAAAGAGAATCCATGGACTTCTAAAAGTTGAAGCTTGAAAACATTGAGATCAATTAATTTTGCTCTTTGAAGGGTTTTTATGAGAGGCATGTTGATTTTTTGAGACACGTGGTTTTATGGAAAAAGTAGTACAATTACACGTGTTAAATAGAAAGAAACTTGATCATACACTTTATGTTGCCTTCTGTACAATAATTTGTTGCTATGATCGTCCCAGCCTTGTTGGCTTATAAATAAGATTAATATGATGATAAATGTCATTCACAATTTAATGCACTTTTTGTAAATAATATGCAGAGAAATCATTTAAATAATGTACCTATCGTACTATCTTTGATATGTGGTGGAATTGCTCTTCTCGATTCCCTTCTTTTCTTTTCGAATTCCGCACAAGAAAGTGAAAAACCCTATTAATTGTATGATCAATTACAAATTTAATATATAATAATAAAAGTGATTCACCATTAATTTTAATGTTATTCTCTTTAATCATTAACTAAATAAATTAAAAAAACTACCCCACTTATTTCGTAATTATAATTATGAATAGTTCAAAACACTAATTTAAAATCTATCGGAGAGGTATTTTATCAAAGAAAAAGTTTTAGTGCTCAAACCGATGGAATGAGTTTTTACAATGCCTTTTTGTGGAATTGGTGATCGATGAATAATGAGCTTGTTGTTGTGGATATGTAGTTTGTTAAAGTATTATTGTTGAGGATATGCAATTTGTTAAAGTTTTGTTGTTGACGATATGTAATTTTTTAAAATATTGACGTTGAGCTATGTGCTATGTAAACTGTGAGTTGTTAGGTTGGGTTGAGTTTTATGCACGTTGTAGTTGCGATGTTTCGGTTGGGGTGGTAGGATTACTCGCATTTCATCCCTTTAGCTTGTGTTTAGAGGTTTACTTGTTGAGTACCGTGTGGTTTGGTACTCACCCCTTGCTTCTACAATTATTTTTTGCAGATTACGACCCTGGATTTTTGTGGTATTTATCATTCTCTTCTTTTCCGAGGCTTCATAGAGATTTGTGAGGTAGCTATTTGTCATCTCAGCGGACTTTCTTTATCTCTAGTTATTATCTTCTTCTATTCAAGAAATAAGTTCATTTCAGACTAGTTTTTCTTTTGAATTAATTTTAAACTTTACACGTGACAACCATGTTTTTGGGGGTATCTTTTTGTTGATTTTAAAATTTCTTCATTATTGTTGTAATGATTGAGTTTTAGCTGACTTGTCTTGGTGGGATAAGACGAGTGTCATCATCTCCATTTTAAGGCTGTTAGAAAAATAGTATCAAAGCCCCAGATTCATAGGTCTCACGTGTGTACAAGTCGAGTCTAAGTAGAGTCTCGAGGATCTGTACGGAGGTGTCTGTATTTAACTTCGAGAGGCTGTATTGACTTGTAAAAAAATTTCACTTTTTGGATCTCTATCCTGCGTACTTGATCCAGTTTTGGAGCTTATCTCTTCAGTCCATTGACTCTCATTTATGTGATTCCTCGTATGTAGTTCCTCATGTGAGTAGTTGGTTGTCGTGTGTTGGATGAATGTTAGATTTGGTACTAAGGTGAAAGTTGAAGACTTATGGAAAAAATGTGTGGTCAGATTTGAAATGTTCAATTCAAAAGAAGTGAGTTAGGTGATGACTTGACAAAACATTTTTATGATTTCTAAATTATTAGGTTGAAGAATGGTATATTGACACATCATAAACGTATTATATTTTTCAAGTTGTTACCATAGGGAATAGTACTTGTGTGGTATAGGTGGTTTGAAAACTGGAAGTGTAAGGATTAAAGGAATGAATAGATAATGGACATGTAACTTTGAAAAAACTACCACTATTAATGTTGTCATAACATATATGTGATACTTGGTGAATGATGAGAATGACGTTACGCTAATTGAGGTTAGAATTTATACTACGATTTTATGGATGGTGTATATATCAATGAATGCCATGATATTACTACTATAATAATATCAATTCTTACTTAGTTAGAGTTGTGGAGTGTGTTAATTTTGATATTGACATGACCTACGAAAGGATATACATAGCTTGGGCTAGATACGGAACTAATCTGCTGATATTTTGTAGTTATTAAAATTTGGATATGATCTTCTTGGTAGGTATGATATGTTCTAGTGGTTGATCTTATATATTTTTTGGATATGATACTGGTGGTATTTTGAAACAGATATATTGATCGTCGAATTGAAAACTAACTACTTACAGAGTTATAATTTGTATAACAAGATTGCATACTGAGATTTGATGTTACACTCACATTTGAGAAACCAACCCGGTTGTTCTTGTAGATGTTTGGAGTGGATCCTTGATACATTATTAATACAATAATTTGTGAAGTGTATCCTGATGGTGTTATAAACGAGAACCATTGATTTTATCTTAAGGTATGTGGGATCAATGGATAGATACTAGAATAACAACTTTATGGGTAAAGAAAGTCCCCAAAAAGTATACTTGTGTAAAAGGTAATTGAAGATTTTAGTAAAAAGTGCACATAAAAATGGGCTAGTCCTTTGAATTTAATTGGTATAATTGAGTTTAAGGTGTTATGAAAAGGTTGTCTTCGTCGTAATGATAAAAGCCAAGTATGAAGGTAATAAAGTTTTATGATGAATTATGGTTGGAATTCAACGATATGATAAGGTTTTTGGTTAAAAGGATTTTTTGTGATAATGATGATTTTTGAGTATCTAAGGTTATGTTGTGCTACAATTTGATAAATAGTGTGGTGTTATGGATAGTTATATGAGATGTTGGGACACCACTCAAATAGAATCGCAAGGTGCTAAACCCATAATGAAACGAATTAGTGGCATGTATTTTAGCCTTCAGTAGGAGAAAAGAACAAGAATATTTACTTAGATTTTAAGGACCAAACATGTGTCTTCTGAGAATGCGATCTGATTGAGAGACACATGATTTCATCCGTTTTGCTCAAGTCATGGTAATAGTGTCATGGTTTAATGAGATTGGTAAAAATTATTGGATAATATTAGAGGAAAAAGTATATGTGTTCAATGTTAGTGTGGTAATAAGTGTTTTTGTGTTTTTTTAGTTTGATAACTGGTGCAGTTGGAATTAAAATTAAAAGTTTCCATTGTGAGTCTATAGTTGTGGTAGTATGTTCTGTGAAGGTGTGGATTAATAAGATAAGAAATGAACGGCTGCATTAATATTGATCATTTGGAAGAATTTGTACATGGTTTGAGACATAAAGCGTATTATTTTGATTGTCAAAGGACCTAAGAAAGGGTTTAAAGAAAAAATCTTTTATTGATATGGTAAAAATGTCAAGGGTTTTTGGCTAAAGAATAAAAATGATGAGTGAGTTAGTAAAAATAACAAAGGTATGAAATTTTGAAGAATTTAAGCTAGTTAAAATTTGTTTCATGGAAGAAATTTAAGAAGACAAGGAATAAGACCTCTCATTTTGGCCCGTAGCGCATAGTGGAAAGTTTTATAGATTTCTGTCTTTTTATTTAGATATTACTGTGAGATGTGAATTGATTTGGTACAGAATTTCTACGGGTTATCAACGACTTTGGTAAATATTAAGTTTTTGTTGGTGACAAACAACTAGGTGTGAAAGACTCTACATGGTTATGTCAAGGTAGATTGTTCAGATTATGATATGTAACTTAAGATGTTCGACGATGTAAACCTACAATTTTACATGAGTAATGATGATTTGAGGGGATTGGAGCTACTTTTTTTGATGAGACGATATATATTGTCATGTTGTGTTATATGGGCATTTGATAATGAGTAGAGTTTATGATTGTCACAACCCAAAACGAGTCGTGAGTGACACCCACGCTTACCTCCTTAGGTGGGCGAACCAACACATGTAAACCCCAACATATTCCAATAGTATAACTATAAATAATATAAATAATGCGGAAGCTCCAAAAGATACTAAGCAACCAATTTAAATAAGTTTCTAAAATATAATACTTATAATCCCAAAATCTGATAGTCATTACACCAAGGACACATATTTTCAAATTACCAAGTCTAAGAGTGTTTAAGAAACAAAAATAAGCAAAAAGATGGTCCATATCCAAAATTCATAGACATCAAGACGTGAATGAGAGAATCCAGCACGAGCTACAATTAATAGCTCACACTCTGATTTGCTGGAGACTGGTTAGAGCTGAGGTGAGTCGAATTCGATGGTACACTTGCTGCACTCCACAAAAGAACAGAGAAGAAAATATAAGTAGGGGTCAGTACAAGGAATACGTACTGAGTAGGTATCATCGGTCAACTCAAAATATAAATCAACATATATTAAATAATAGTATAAAATCAACTACAATACTTAACAGGTGGCAAGAAACAAACACATGAACCATTGAAAACAACACCATAATAGGTACACCATCAATCACCACATCAAGCACACCTATGGGGACTCATGCCTCCACACCATACTCATTTGGAAAATAAGTTTTTTGAGATTAAGTATATGAAGTTACTTCAAGATTTATTGCCTTTAATGTTATTGTGTCGGAACGTGACACTACGATCCCTTAATACCATGTCGGAACGTAACACTCCGATCCACTAATACCGTATCGTAACGGGACACTCCGATCCAATTATCTCATTATTTTATTTCATCAATCCTTCTTTATTCAAGGCGTCATTTTACTAGATAGGGTTCAAGATTAGAAATTAAACAATCTCATAATTTAGGCCAACCACAAACCACACTATCAAGACAGACAACCACATAATCAAGTACATAGGAGACTTTACAATATCACTTAATACATATCAATCTCTATTGAGAGTTTATCTATCAAATAGAAATAAACCATAACCTACCTCCACCGAAGAACTGAGTCAAGAAAGTTACTTCTCCAATACTTTTTCTTTCCACAATGCCTCCGAATCTTTCCAATCTATAAAGTATATATGCATAATTTATAAGTTAATGAGTCTATAAACACTTACGTTATTTTATGTGAATCCTAAACCCAACAACACATCCAAATTTATAAT